ACTTGCTAAATCGCGTGATGGATGATGTCAAAAGCGAGGTGGGCCTGTCAAGACCTGGACTGATATAGTCAGGAAAATTTTGAACGTATAAGAGACCAATATATGGACTTAAATGATGGAAAAAGGAATGGCTCCTATTACTACTAGCGATGGCGTCGGACCGGACAACTTGGAAACGCCTTATAGCCAGCGGATACAGCCTAACCAGTGATGGTGAGATCTATTAGAAAAACAAGATTTAAAAATCCACATTCTAATAAATGCTAAATTTTTTCAGATGTTTGGCAAAAAAGTCCATTTCATTTAAATTCAATGAAATTTTTGCTTATTTAAAATTGTTACAAATTAAATTGTTATAATTACAATTATATAGTAATACCAATAAAAATAAAATACTAAATAAAGATCATTAACAATAATAATAAAAATAAATTTACACTGTGGGAATCTTTTTAAAATATGATATATATTATAGATAGAACTAAAATTTTCTCCATTAAAAAATAAACTGATTTTTGAAGTCCATTAAATAAATAAAATAAATGGGAAGATTTCAAATTGGTTTTTTGGCTATTAGCTATTAAGTTGGGGAGAAAAGTAACTGAGTGGTTCTTACTTACATTGTTATTTCGGGCTTCTTTATTTTTATTTAGTTGTTATAAAATCCATTAAAAATGAAAGGAGAAAAAAAAGGCAAACACACATAGGAGGAAATAGAAAATGACTTTTTGCTTGAATGAATCGACGAATTATTACGATGGATAAATTTGTAAAAACGTCGCATATCGAAGAAATATTTTTGGTTCGGAAAAATAAAAGAGCCAACCAGTAGATACAATTCATCAGGTGTCAAAAATTTAGGTTGTTTTTTACAAATATTTTTTATAGCAACCATTTCTTATTTATTATTTCTTATTTATAGATATACTGATAGGATATGATATGTTCCACCAGGGCGCGTCACTTGAAGTACGGTTGGTTCATCCAGCATCATCCGCTTTCCGATTTTATATATCTTTTATTTGTGTTTTTATATCTTCAATATGAAAATGAATTTAATTATGGTTGAGAAATTTTCAATTCAGTCTTACGCAGTTTACTAAAACAATTCAAATCAATCTATTTCAAATTACTAATCAGATTCTTGGAGACATAGCAAACAGATCCTCTTAATAAATTTCATTTTATATTAATTTTAAATTTTATATTAATGGATGGCATTTAGTGAAGAGATAAATGTGAAAATTACTGTAAAGTGAGTGAAAGTGGTTAGCTGCCACCTTTTCTGTTTAGACTTCTTCCACTGATCCACGACCACTTGATTTTTTAATGATAAATAATTTTTAATGATAATTTACTTCTGTCAAAGGTGGGAACCTGAGCCTTTGACGTTCAATGGGGTAATTCGAGCAATAACCTCAACTGTCCTCTGTCCTCTCTCTGATGACAGATTAGCATACAATTCACTGAGTTTCTTGTGATTTCGATTCTATTTTTTAAACAATTTGTAAATTATTTAAATTATTCCACATATTTCTCAATTCCTTATCCGAATAAAAAATAATATCAGTGTTTAAGAATTCGAGGACACTGAGATTTCTCGAGGTTCTCAGGGCCAAAATCGTAGCAAAAGAAATTGTTTGCCTCTTTTCTAAGGCTTTTGCCTAAGTCTTAGTAAATTTTGTGAAATTTTGTATGCGAAGATCTTATTTAAGGGGAAAAAAATAAAATTTATTCAATAAAAGAATATTTTAAAAATTTCTATCTTAATTTTTAATATTCTTAGACAAAAGCGAGGGAAAAGCTCTTCAAGAATCCTCATTAATTTTTAAGAATAAGGAGACCCTTGGAATAAAAAGTTTAAGAATCAACATTCACCATTTCTGGTCTGGTTAGCCACATCGGGATTAGCCGAAGTCAATTGGAAATATAAATTCCTCGCACAATTCACATACAAATTTTGAGGCGATTTAAAAAATTTTCTGTTCTAAAAATATTATGGTTATTACGGTTACTTTTGCCAGAAGTCTTTTGGCGATAGAAGTATAAGCAAGCTGCCAGAACAGTTCGGACTTTTCAATAGCAAATTTATTAATCAGATTTATTATTGATGAGATCTTTCAGACTTTTGCCTCTCAACACGATGACCGAAACCACCTTAGCTGGCATGCTCTGTATTTTCTTAATTATATATATATATATATATATACAACAGAATTTTTCGCAACATTCGAAATTGACGATCACATGGAAGAATAAACAAATTAAAACACAGTTGGTCTTCCTTATTATCACACTAAATAAAATGCTTTTGCCAAATGTTTTATTACACTTAAATCAAAATAAACATCGGTACTTTCCAGTAATTTAACAAGGCATCCAGAAATACGACGAATTCATCGATCGATGATCTCTCAAGAACCTTGCAAAATAGTTTTTTTTGTTTTCCTATAAAAACTCCCTTCTAACTTTCTTTACTATTATTTTTCATTTTTCATTTTTCACAAATTTAACTTAAAGAATCCCAATTTATCGGGACAATCTGGTATCTGTGGATTTTTCCAGAAATAAGAATAAAGAATAAAGTTGAAAATGAAAAAGTACTTAATATCTGTCATCGGTAAAAATAGAAATTTTGCGCTTTTCAAGCATTATGAAAAAAAATTATGAAGAAAATTTTAGAAAAACAAGATTAAGATTAAGACAATTTTTATGTTCCATATTCAGTGTTCTATATTCTATATTTAATGGAACTCTATCGTGTAAGCATATTTATTTATTTGTTCGAACACTGAGCCAAACAGGACGAAAAGGCATATACGCTAATGCTCCAGAAAAAAGTTAGTTTTCTTCTTTTTTCTCCTTAATAGCACACATCATTTCTGGACTGATGTAGGTGAATATCCAACACCATTCGGATATTTACTGACATGTTTACCTCAACAAACCTGTGATGATTCGAATTTAGACATACATTCGACTTCTTTCGCTAACTAAAAATGATTAATATTTCACTGCAAAAAATTTATCACAAATGTATTCATCTGTAAATAAGAGCAACTTGCTTAAGTAAAATTTGCGATTTATTCAAGTATAAGTAATGATAAGAGTTGGTATTAAAAAAATAAATGTATAAAAAAAATGGAAAAAACTGTTTTACTACATTTATTATCAAAGAAAAAAATAAAATAGAATGGATGGGACTGAACAGAATGGACGAGATGGGAAGAACTGGGATAGGATGGGACAAGACGGGCATTTTGAAAGATTTGCGTGATTGTATGATCATTAACCATTGGTGCTTTAGTGGAAAAATTTTAAGAATTGGAAGCTCCTTAATGGTCTAATTAAAAATTTTAAAAATTCGATTTTAAGCTCTTCTTTTGGATTAAAAACAAATGGAAAAAAAGCCAAAATATCGTGAGAAAAAAATAAGAGGATTTCCGTTAGATAATTTCTTATATATTAAAAACTACTCAAAAAATTCTTTCTTATCTTTTCTTATTTACTTGGCTCCACAGCCTACTGAAATGTGACCATTTCACAGATCTCGTTAAGGAATCGAACTTATGATGGCTTATAATGCTTGGTACTTTTTTGTTTCACATTTTTCTCCAAATATAATTCAATTTATGAACTAGTTATTATTGGTTATGGTTATGTTGATGGCCCATCTGTATTTCTATTACCGAGCGAGGTCCTGGCAAAAACTAATTAACTGCCCTAACAACCACGGAGCTAACCAGAAATGATGATTACCACTTACATTAATTATTAATTTTTTGAGTTTTTGAAATTATGTAGTTCAAAAAATTTTGCATATAATTGTGTGTAATATATATAACATTCTTATTTGTATAAATGCTTTCGTAAATTATAAAAGCTGTTGGTTCTTTAAATTACAACTGAATAACCTAAACTTCTTACCCTTCTCTCTTCCTCCTTTCTTTGATTTTATCTCTTAACCATTATATGTAAACAGCTCTTCAAAGTAATTTGAAAGAAAACTATCTCATAGATATTTCTTCCTCTAACAGCTTCTCTGCTATGGATCTATTGACTAGTAAGGTAAAGCCATTAGCCAGCGAAATATTTGGGGATAGAAGCACAGACAAGTCCCTAATAATAACATTTGGATATGACTTTTAATAACAGGTTTACTTTCTGAAAATAAAAAATAAGCTAGCAAAAAAAAATTATGGGTAAATAAAAGTGAATAAAAAAAAAAATAATTTAATCAGTAGTAAATTAAAGCAACAAATATAATATAGCGGTCAGCACTCTTTTAGTGAGTTAAGGATGGTCCATACTCGCTTTCTCTTCTTCTTCTAACAGCTCTTATCATTACTGGTTAAACTTGCTCCAATGGCTACAAGGGTAAGACGCTTCCAAGCGGCGCGATCTGATGCCATCGTCGACAGTGATGGAAACCATCCGCTCGACGGATCCGTAATATGTACCTTAGAAAAGAGTGATCAAAGGTAGATAGCTTCTTAATATTCTTCACTCACATTGGCCATATCTCAGAACTATATAGCAAGATCGAACGAATCACGGCTATATAGATGCGAACTTTGTTTTAATGGTAATTTCACGACGATTCCATAAAGGTTTCGTCAATCGGAAGAATGTATTTCTAGCTGCCGTGATCCGGGTTCTAATATTTTTTGCCTGGCCATTTAGTATTAGAGTGGTCCCAAGGTATTTAAAATCGGGCACTTCATCAATCGACAATGAATTTACAATAAGAGGCATTTTATCAACTTCTTGCACATAAGACGAAAACATTTACATTGATCCTGACACATCATCACTTGCATTTCATCATAACTGTCAGTAAAAACGAATAAATCATCAGCATATTCAAGATCTGTAATACGATGCTCTGGACTAATTCGGACACCTCTTGAGTGTCGACAAGCAGTCTATTACCCAGTTGAATATTGTGGGGGAAAGGACGCAGCTCTGATGGACACCTGTTCTTATTTCAAAGGAATTTGTCAGCTTCCCATATACACAGACGTGCGCGCATAAAATGCCTTTATGAGTCGAATGATTTTCTCTGGAACACCGTCACGTTCCATCATCCTCCAATGCGCCGCTCTATCAAATGAATCAAAGGCAACCGCAAATTCGATGAAACACGTGACAGTGGGTTGCAAATATTTTAAGAGATGTTCCAACACCCTTCTTAACGTGAATATCTGGTCAGCATAACCGCGCCCTGGTCTGAAACCAGCTTGATTAGGGCGCATCATGCTGTCCCGTACTTCCATAAGTCTGTTGAGTAGCAAGGAAGCAAAAATTTTTGCTGAGACGTCTAATAGGCTGATTTCTCGATAATTATCGCAGTATGTCCTATCACCTTTCTTGAGAATTGGGAGCAGAATTGCTTTGCTCCAATCATCTGGTAATATTTCTTTTTTCCATACTAAAGAAGACGTTTGTTGAAGGTGCATTATGAAGGACGATGGACAGCATTTAAAAAGCTCAGCCCGAAAACTATCTTCTCCTGAAGTTTTGTTGGCCTTAACTTATGGATAACTGTAATTATTTCTTTTTCTGTTGGAGGCTAGCAATTGCAAACTTATGCTTCGGCAAAGTATCAGCTAAATCAGGGGCAATAGATGGCGCTTTATGGTTAAGTTTGGCCTCAAAGAATTCAATTCTTATGAGGCGATCCTTAATACTTTTAATTAGTACACCATTGCTGCATCTTACCATTTCAATGATCGTTCCCCGAGTCATAGTTGCTTTATGAAGAAGGCAGAATAATTTCCTATTGTCGCCTAATCGATGCCTCCATTCTTGAGGCCATGTCACTCCAATAGATATCATATCATTGAGATACTTTGTATCATTGAGATACTTCAACAATTCGGTTTGAAATGCGCTCACTGTCCCCGAATTTTTTAGTTTGAGATAGTTGAAGGAACTTGGGGAATGCTGTTTTCTGCGAGCAATTTTTAATTTTATGGATCTTGGCTCGGACCATAACATGGACCATCCATGAAGATTACCCGTTTCAGCTCCGCGATAGGAACGACTATCTAGTACGGAATTCTTCCAACGGCGACTGACTAAGATATAATCAATCTGGTTGAAGTGTTGGGAGTTCCACGTGACTAGATGTTTTCTATGATGCCAGAAGCAAGTATTAATAACAAAAAGTTCATGCTCTTCGGCATAACGAGACGTTTCCCATTGGCACACCGGTCTCCGATGCCATATTTGCCAATTGTTGAGGTCATCGCAGCTGCATTATGACCTATGCGAGCATTCCAGTCGTCTCCTCCGATTATGATCATGTCATGTTTCAGTAGAGACTTTGTTAGCAGTTGAAGTTCCGTATAGAACTTGTCTTTATCACGTTCATCTGCCGACAGCGTTGGAGCATAGACACTGATAACCGAGATATTGCAGAACTTACCCTTAAAACGGGCATAGGCCATACGGTCGTTTACCGGTTTCCACTCAATCAAAGCTAAATGGGCCTTATCAGATATGACAATCGCTACGCCATTTCGTCCCGAGTTATTCGAAAGACCACAGTGATATAGCCAGTATCTTTGCTCTGAACCAGGATTAATAGACCCAAAGTGAGGAAGATGGACCTCCGACAAACAAGCGATATCCACACGATACTTAGACAGGGTGTGGACAGTGATTGCTTGGCTTGCAACGTCCATAAGTGTTCTGACATTCCACGCTGATACGGCTAATACCTCACCGCGTGTGCAGAGGGTTGTTCCCCTTGATAGATTTCGGGCAATTACCCTGGTTTGATAGCACATTTTATTTACCAGCCTTAGGATCGCTTTAAGCCCGGATTGTATACTTATCGCATGTACCGGACTCGAAGTATCATGCGCTTCAGGAGACGCGGATGCCGTATGAAGTATATCTGACCCTTTCACCATAGAGTCACTTGGGGGATAGAGTTACAGGTGGGTCCCCAGCAGCCACTCGGATTTTTGACATAATAGCAGGTTTATTCCTGCCAAAGACAGAAAAAAAAAAAAATTTATTATGAAAAAAATAATAAAATGGACAACTGATTTGATTTAATTTAATTGATTTAATTTCAGTTTATTTTATTATAATTTTGATCGTTATTTGGTAAAAAAAAGTTTAAGAGGACTCAGCTGAATTGTGATCAGAAATGAAAAAATAAATTTACAAAAAAAAATCGAGAGTATCTTTTTGAAACGATCGCTCAACAAAAATTTTTTCCAATTTATCCATACTCGCTTAAAAAAAAGGAATTTTCTGCATATTTATTTGTTGTTTATACTGGAAAATCGAAGAAAAATTCATTTCGAAATATGCGTTAAATTATTTTAAAGTTTTTTATCAAGACATTCATCATTTCCATTATCTCTGCAATGATAATATGATAAGGTGTTAACGCACTAACACTAATTTCATCTATTTATCACTTTATATATTATTAACAATTAGCAGCTTAAAAAATGACTTGAATCAACCTGTTTTTATCAATTGGTTAGTTCAAAAATTGATAAGCGATCAAAATTCATTAAAATAAAAAAAATAATTATTTATTATTTCATAATCATTATTTCCTACTTTTCCGGCAAAGTGAGAAATTGTCCTTGAATCTTTTAATCAAGAGGGTAAACTTCTTTCTTTTTGATCTTAAGTAAAAGGTAAGTAAATTAGTGGTTATTTCTGAGGCTAAGTTTCACCGTAGATGCGGTGAAAAATTCTTTCCAGGAAAACACAGAGAAGTGCAAATGAGTCACCATCCATCTTATTTTTTAATGGCAAATTTTTTTCCTATCGAATATCCCTCACCTCTCATCACAATCTGTACAATTATCCATTCTGCTAGACTAATCCTCTTGAATAATAATTCCTATTTAAATATTATTTTTTGACAAAATATGGGTGAATATGGAAAAATAGAAGCGAAGCAGTTAGTTTTGAAATCTATCTTTAATAATTTCTTTTACAATTATAATTAATTTCATTACAATTTCTTTCATAATTATTCACTGAATAACCGCGAACTTCGAGTTTTTAAAAATGATTTTTTAAAATAAAAATAAATAAAATAAATAAAAATTTAAATAAAAATTTGAAAAGAATAATATGAATTTACTTTGCTTTGATTTGCTAAGAAAGGCCAACAATTTAAAAAATGGCTAAAATATTTGCCACTGTAAAATAAGAAGATTCAAGGATTAGTTTAAAAAATAACTGAAAGGACCGTTGAACTATACAGAGATTAATGAAGGCGTATATACTCATACAGCATATTTAAGCATAATACGGTATATATTTTAGTCTTCAAGCCTAATTTAAGGTGTAAGGTGCATATTCACATAAAAAAGTATATAGTATGTTTAAGAATTAAATGGTACTTAATGGTACATTTTGGTATTTAAAATATTTGCTGAAATAAGACACATTTAAGTATAAAATGATGCATATTTTTGTATATTTGAGAATTTCTGTTTATAAAAATATTTTTCACTCATTTCTCATTTCGTAGTTTATAATAAGCCCATGAAAAAGAGAAGTAGATCGCAAGATGAAAGAGGCCTACTTAAAATGGCGAATAATACTTTTCTTGCAGTGCGTAATCTTTGCCGCTATTATTGCCCATAAGACAATAACTCTACTTAATTTACTTTGATTAAGAATAAATAGAATATAAGAATAAAAATAAATATTAAATAGCCTGACAACCAGCAGAATTGGCTTAACCAAAAGTAGTGACCGCAACAAATTAAACCAGGTTAAACCTTCTATATACCCCATTATTACCTACCTCTGAAATATAATAATACTTTCACCGATGAACGACTATGACAGAGACGAAAAGATAAGTTTCTGAAAAAAAGTCATCCGTACCAAAAAACTTTTCTTCAATAGCAAGCATCCCCTCTTTGGCTGTCTCCACTCTTCACCATTTGACGATTTTGCCAGCGAATCACATAGCGGTGAAAATAGAGAGCAGAGAATATGTAGGTTCCATCACCTTCACTTTCACTTATTCACTAATTCAACTTGAAGGGGGTGCATCGAATCCACGGTACTTGCTTGCTTCATTTAATGTCGCAGATACTCCATCACATATAAATATATAAATACGAGGAAGATTAATAGAGTTTTAAAGCACACACGCTTAAATGAAATATAAGGAAGAAAAAAAAATGATGGAAGGAAATTATTATAAATGGCAAGCACATGGAAGATAATGTTTTCAGCGGTGCTTTGCTGCTTGCACTAACTCGAAAAATTTTCATTCATTCTTTCCGCTTTCTTCGTCTTCTTCATCGTTCGACGACATAGCCAGCAACACACGGACATTTTCTCAAAATCGATATGCTAGTTCGAATGAACAAAATATGCCAAATAAACATTTTACATGATTTTTCATGGAAATTAAGTTTTCCACGCATCCAGAGGCACCGTCATTTTTTTACGATAGTAAACGGTTCCCAGAAATTTTTTCTTTCAAAGAATTTCAAAGAAAGAAATTTAGATTATTCGCTGACTATGGTAATGGTTCAGAGTGACCCACTTTTGGAAGGCAAAAATTCAGTTTAAGGCTGAGAACAAACTCAGCATTAAAAAATCCAGATAGTGCTAGCGATTGTGTGTTTCTATTAGCATTTATGTATTTATTCCATGGCAATTATACTAGTCAGCTAGCCTGACGAGAAGTGCTCAAAACTGACAATGTGCATTCTTAACTTTTTAAAATAGACTGATTTTCAAAGCATTAATTTTATTGATCATTAACTAAGTGGTTAACATGGCTAATTAGAAAATCAAATTTTTGGTAGAGTCACTTAGAGACAGAAGAATGCAAATGGATTCCTTCACCAGCCGCATTTTTTAATAATTCAGGGAAACAGAAAGAGAAACATGGCTGAATAACGGTGCTTAAAAGCTAAGCGAGGAAATAATCTGTCAATACAACACTTGTTTATTGGTGCCTCTATCGAATCGATCATTAACTGTCGTCGCTTCATCGTTATTTATTTATTATTGTTATTAATTATATTTTTGCAGTTTCTCGACTGATTCAAGTTGTTGCTTCGGTGGCAAGTATCATGATTCTTGCATCTTGATAGCAAATTTGTCGAACAAATTATCATTCCTTGGGTGAGAGCAGGAGGATGGTGTCTCGCTTCGGAGCATCATTAATCTGATTCTGTTCTTTTCATGGAAGCAAGCCTGATATTGAAATCCTGGCGACTGCAGGGGAACGAACCGTTCTTTGATATGAAAGATTTCGGGTTATCTTATGTAAAAATGTTTGCTATCATTATATTATCGTTAACTGATAAAATATGATTACCAGAAGTGATTAGGCGACAAATCCGAATTATTTTATTAATTCGTTTACAAATTTTTGTTCACCTTTTCGTCAATCATGAGATTAACTAATTGCTGAAAAACAAAAATATTAGTTGTTTCTAACAAAAAAAGGTAAAATTGATTTGAAGAAAAACAAATAAAAAACAAATAAATACTAGCTGATTCAGTATAAAATTTCAAACTATGAAATTAGAAAAGTATGAAGAGAGATTTTATCCATGACTCACCATTATCCATGATTTTTTCAATTCATGTATTAGCATGTATTAGCTAACTAGCGAGCTATCGTTGCTTGGGTTCTCCCTGTACTAATACTTTTCACCATTTTCTCTCGTCAGTGAGAATATAATGAAGAAAAGCGTTTTAGGTTGACTGCAGGCTGAGTTATTGGAAAAACGGCAAATAAACAACGAATGAACAGAATGAAAGCATTAATCAAAAACGAAATTTTGCCATAACAAAGAAAAATTTCTTTTTTTAAAATCCAAAGTAAGGAGAAAACGGGATAATTTTTTTTGATAAAAAAGATAAAGAAAATATTGAATTCTTCGAAAAACGAAACTATTTGTGAATGAGCCAGGAAGTGCTTATAAAATGAGCGAACGGAGCTAATTTCTCCAATTTACCATTTCCTTGATATACTCCGCTGGCCAAAGAAATAAAACCCTCCAGCAGAAAGTTTTGGGAAATGAAATGCGTGTAGACCTCGAGCCAAACTCATATTTTGCTCTTGACTAAAGGTTTACTCCATTCAAAAGGAAAGAGATCGAACCGCACGATGCTTGGCTTGTAGTCAATGCAACAACACATCATCCTAGCCATCCAGCGAGCCCCACAGGTTCACTCCATTCATTCAACGATCATGCTGCATAAATCAAACCTATAATGATTTCTTGATTCAATTTGAAAAACACCTTTCGACAAATTTTCTTCTACCTTTGCTTACACCATCTGCAATAAACAATTCAGAATACCGAATTCGCTGTTTTTTCCACACTTTTCTTGCATCAATCGTATACTTTTCCTAAAATTGCGAAGAAAAAGCAATAAAAATTTCTCAAAGGAAAAATGCCAGTTCAAAGTTCCCATTCCCAATAACCAACTCCAAATTTGCCAAATTTTTTTACGTTTCCACCACACATCGTCAAATCCATTGAAGACAAAGGCGTTTAATGATAACAAACCGAACACAAACTAATTTTTTTTTCGGTTATTCATTCGGTTGATTCATTTAAATTCAGCAAAATCGCGTTTATTTGTGGATAACCTTAATCAAAATTTTTTATTTCTTTCATTTAAACAATAATACAAGTAAATATATCTTATATTGAAATTTCTTATATTCTTATAAAAATTTTCGCACGATAGAACGAAGTGATAAATGGAAAGTGGAAAAGAAGCGAAACTAATGTAACTAAGGTACCAATTACAGTCTACGATCAAGAAACGAATTATCGCTCAATCATACAAACTAGGAATAAAATCGAAAAACGAGAAAACATAACCGTTCATAGAATTTTCGAATAAAAATACTGAAAATGATAACGCATATCCATGACGATAATAAATGATGATAAAAGATAATAAGAGCAAACTAAATTTACATCCGATAATTTACATTTAAATTTGAGCAGCACGAGCATTTGCGGTTGAACATTGAACGACATTTAATACATTACATTTGCACATAAAAAATTAAAAAAATATACAAAAGATGGCTAACGCATATTTTGCATGCTTACTTTTGCCAAAAAACATGTTTACAAATAATTACAGATAATTACAGATATAAAAATAACACTAGCTAACATAAAAATTCCTATTAAAATTCTTCTTATTCTCCAAAATATTCTTTTCAAAGGATATTTAAAGATACGAAGAAACGATAAAAAGAGACGAAAGGACTCTTCATTAAACCTAAAACCTAAAAAACTCGATTATGGACAAAGAAAGACGAGAACCTTTTCAAGCGATATTCATCCTATATCTTTTATACGCAGGCCAATCAATTACTTACAAATAAATAATACAAATTCTAAGGTAAATCGAGTCGATTTCTTCGCATTTTCGAATCAGCATTTTCTCAATATCTACCAAGTAATGGATGAAATTCGCTTGAAAATAATGAAAGCTCACGAGGTAAGTGAACAAATAGAGTGGAGGCAGATAAAAAATACTTAATGATGGCGAAAAAACCTAAAAAAATCAACCTTAAAGAACCTCGAAAAATAAAAATATCTTGACTGATGTCTAAAATCTTTTTTCTGAACTATTTATAAATTTACCAATTTACCAATCTATCAAAATCAGCCACTCGTTAACTCATAATTAGTAGCTGAATAGTACCAAAAAAAAATTGATAAAAAAATAATACAACTTCAAATAGAACTAAAATTTTGAGTTTTTAAAAAAATTAATCTACATTTTCAGACTAATGTTAAAAAATATTAAAAAAGAAGGTAAATAAATGAAACTAAATAAAAATAAATTAAAATATTCAATAAAAATCTACAACGTCTTACGACCTTTACATATTTTCAACTCCACAAAGGCTTAATTAATGGAACATAATGGACATGACACTAAAATGCTGCGATACAGAATTGAAATTCCGAACACTACCATGGTAAAACTCATAAGGCATTTGGCATCACGCTCAATTATTTAGTACCACATCTTCGCATTTACAACATTCTAACTAAGAGCTCTTCCAAAAAATCATTGGATCCTGATGTAATCAGTAAGCATAATACCGAGATGAATTTTAAAAAAATGAAAATTTTACGAGTTGAATTACTGAAATATAAATATAAAAACCTAATGTGTAAATTTATATTGAATTTATACTGAAATATAAAAACCTAATGTGTAAAGTTAACAAAAAATCGACAATTATACACCAACTTATAAAAACCATCATAAAAATGGATGAAATGGATGGAAATAAATATCTTCGAGATCTTCAAATACATAAATATTTGAAAAAAAAAAAAATTAAAATATTTTCCTAATTTATTTCATTAAAAATAATTCATTCCTCCATGAACGTTGCTGATTTTTTCGATTTGCGATGAATGTGATATTTTTTTCATTTTAATGAAGATACAAAACAAAACGATTAAAGTTTCAGCATATCCCCTATGATGAGATAAATTTATAAAGTGCTATCTCATTTTGGATAAATTAACGGATCTTAAAGCGAACATAATATTATCCTAATTATTTACATATTGGGTGAAGTGATATGTCTTAATTTGAATAAATATGAAGAAGAGAAAGCATTATAAGAGCTCATCGGAGTTTTATTCGTAGTCGATTTACCGGCACAATTTAGGCAAAAAATGTTACGAAGACGATGAGATACTATCGCATCCACTATTTGCTTTATTTAGAATTGGTCGATTTTTTCGGCTTCCTGTAGTAGATAATGAAGTATTAGGTACACTGCGTTTGCCAATTTTTCGACGCTTCTGCTTATGAAACGATAATACGGCATTGCAGTTGCCAGAAACTGTTTGTTTACCTTCTTCTACTTGCTCAGATTCCAATTTTGCTCGCGAATCACCATCATTACATAGAGAAACTCTAGATAATATTATTAGTAAAGTTATAACAGATCATTCGATATTCAGAAAAATAAGATAAAAAATAAGTAAAAAAACAAAATAAATATGAAAACATTTAGAAGAAAAATGAGAAAGAAAAAAGATGAGGAAAGATATTTAAATCAAAATCAAAAAATTAGAAGGAACTTTGCCAACAAAAAAAACCTTTTTTCTTGTGCTTCATTCCTGAAGGAAAATTTTACGCTTCCTATAGCTTTAGTAGCCATTTTAGAAAATTGCTGACTTTCTAAAATACTTTTTGTTCCATTTTCCTGAAAACAAAGATAAGAGTATCATCAACGCACAAGGAAAAATTCCATGAAATTTCTAAAATCAAATAAATAATATATGACCAACATCTACTGCAGAACAATTTTTAACGCCATGTTTTTCTGCGGAATTCTCACTATATCTCTTCTTAATCGCTGACTCTTGATTACTGAAAAATTTCGTGAATTTCGTTAATTATTGAATAAAATTAGTTTTTTGCTTAGAGAAAAATTTCGTGAATTTCGTAAATTATTGAATAAAATTAGTGTAAAAAAAAAATTATTAGTAATAAAAAATTAGTAATAAAAAAAATTAAAATAAAATTTCTTCCTTTTCTAATATTTCAACGTTTCAACTAAGAGCTCTTCCAAAAAATCATCGGATTCTGATGTAATCAGTAAGCATAATACCGAGATGAATTTTAAAAAAATGAAAATTTTATTAATTTTTTTTTAAATTCATTCAATGATAAACAAAAAGATCAACTAATAAATATTAGAAAAGAACGAAAAACTAATTTTATTCAATAATTTTATTAATGAGATAAATACTTCGATCAAGAATTTCGATCAAGAATATAATTATAAACATATATTGAAAAAAAGATACTTTAAAAAAAGTGTTTTTTTTAAATCAGCAGACTCAAATTCATTAGAAGATATCATATTGGTTTCATTACCACTTTCAGCGCAAGAAGTAATAGACGATCGACTGTTTGTTGCCGTCTCATCAGATGAATGTTCTATATCTCTCCCATTGTCTGAAGTCGATGATACACTTGACACTGAGTCTGATCTGAAGTAATAATAATTCATTCGTTAGCTCATTTTTTTTTTATTACAATCATTAAAAAAATAAAGGCAATCAAGTAAAAGCTTATAAAATGATAGTGAATAATAAATAAACCCAAAAGGATTGCATAATGGGATTTTAATTGGTTTGGCATTAAGAAATGCTTTTAGATCGCGATTTCTATCGAGTTCTTTATGACTTTCGCAAAACGCTTTCCGAATTGCATCGAATACTACCTGATTGTGCACAGAATGAGCTGTATTCGATAATGTAAATGGTTCTGCAAATCAAACATATTGGACAAGTCGTATAATAGTTATAATTGATAAAATTTATTTCACTTTATTTAACAATTTTTTGCTTTTTTAGAAATCCCGATGATGTATTTTACTTTTATGACTAATGAATTCTTCAGCAAAGGCGTCTTACCTTTGTAGTTAATAGTTAACAGCTAAACTATAAATGAATGCTATTAGGAAAGAACTTTTCATAAAAAATAAAAAATAACTAAAAAACAAACCTTCGATACAAATACAATTCCATTGTGCAATGTTATTAGTATTATAAGGAGAATGCTGTCGTGCGACTAAAGCGCGCTCAGTTTTTTTGCCAAGTCTTACAGATATAGCGTCCCGTAAATAACTTAAGAAAAAAAATTAAAATTTCCAACTTTATATAAATGGCAGCAATAAAAATTTCGAAAACTTACTCAAAATGATAAGCATAATAATCCAGAAAACCAATCAATAACTCGCCAAGCGTTGTTGTATCGGTGAACTGCCATTCGTTGGATGATGGCGGTTCCAGTGGTGATGAAACATTTAAAGCACGAACATCATTTTCTGGATTGAAGCGATCAGGATACATTTCTTGCAACGATGGTAGAATTCGCGGTTCAGTACCACCTTAAAATCAACTTTGGGTATGATACGATTAAAACCTATCTCAAATGGTGAAGAGGGTAAAAGAATGAAATTAATTACTTTGATTACTTTGATCTTCAATCAAAATTTTCCTCAAATTTATAATTTAAAAAACATTCACAAATAAATATTTCTTATAAATATGTTTTCAATCTTAAATGATGAATAACTCACATTGTAAATAATGAATAACTCACATTGTAAATAATGAATAACCATGAGCACCAAAGAATATGAAGTAAATGATGAACGATTAGCATCATTAATATCGTGACGTTTTGCCCATTCCTTTACGACAGTAACTAATGGTCGAACTCGCCAATCAACTGCAAAAAAAATTGAAAATTCTGGAGAAACTTACAATATCTCTAAAATATTTGTGAGAATTATCTATTTTTTATAATTTAGTGAAACACAAATTATAACAAATAAACTTTACAAATAAATAATAGTTTTGAAACCAAAATAAACTAACATGATGAATAAAAACACAAAAGATGAGTGTTGCGAATCGCTACAGAATTATTGACATTCAAATCAACGGTGATGTCTTGAAACGGCTCGCTAAATTTAATCCTCAAAATAGGCACTTTAGCACAAATTAATTGTTGCTGACGAATCCACTTCAGTTCCATTATAGCATTTTGAACCATGTTTAAAATGAGTACAGCATCAGTTTGTTGATCGAGCTGAATCAGTTACTTATATTATTGGTAATTTTACAAATTAGCTCACTTATTTTATTATTATTCACATCTCCCATCAAGACAACATGGAAAACAAATATTGTGACTAAAATAATGCAAAAAAATATCAGCTGATCAGTCAACAATTGGATTCTTCTTTTAAACATTTCCAAAGAATTATTAAGTGAAATAAAATTGTATAAAATTATAAAAAATGATGAAAATAAATAAATATACAATAAACGAACATCTTGATTAGTAATCATAAGACACAGATCCATGTCTGAGGAGTTATTTCCAAAGCCATTGAGTGATGAACCGACAACATACAATCCACACACTATATACATTTAAATAAATTTTAAATTATCGAAGGATACTTATTCGCATTTTTGAAAATGAATTAGCTAGATAAAATTTATTAAAGAAATTTGAAAAAAAACCAGCTAACTCGGAAATACTGGTGATATTGAATAATACAACATATCACGTAGATGCAATTTTTTGTTCAATACCGACTCAGATTGTGTTACGATATTATGATAATGCCAAATTTCCTCGCTTAAAACATCCATCTTTGATACTTCGAAATTACCATTATTACCAAATGCCAACAATGGAGGTGACCGAATCGAATTTAACTTGGTAGATGCTGTAAAAGTAAAAATGAACAATGTAATTGAATGAAAAACTAGAAACTGGAAAAAAATCACTGATTCAGTATGATAAAATATAAGCGACCATTATTCATAAAAAAATAAAATTATAAACGAAACCCAAAATAATAGCAGGTATTGACGCTTTCACTGAATCGTTGCTTATCACTTGTCGATGAACACTTTCACCTAAAATTTAAATTTTTTAGCAAAAAAACAGACAAACGCACCAACAGCCTAGATTATATAATATTTAACCATCGTTTTCCCTTAAACCAAATCCTTTATTAATAAATTTTTGACGATAGAAATATGCAGCTGCAAATATCCATAAATTTTTTTATAAAACAAACAAGAATGTGTGAACCAAGAAAAATTTTTTAAAAAAAGTCAATTAGTGTCAAATTTAATATCATTTGAGACGAACCTCAATAAAAATTCATTTGAAGAAAATTTAGAAGAAAATTCAAAATTAATTTTCAAACAAAATGATAAAAATTTATTAAAAAGAACTCGTAAATTGATTAACAACCAACTGTTCCGATGAAAAGTAAAAAAATAAATTTTTTCCATTTAATTAATTATAATTGATTCAAATTTTTAGCTGACTAACTTATTTGATTAAACGTGATTAAATCCACGAAAAATACAATTTCTAGCTGATGTAAATCATCAATAAGTCCACTTATCCTTATATACCTCCCATTCCTTTGGGAATAAATATTCCTTTGGGAATAAATATTCCTTTGGGAGAAATCAATCAGAAAAAAGACTTCAAAAAATAGGAAAATTTAAATATTACTTAAATAAATAGAAATATGAGAAAAAACCGAAACATTAAAAATCTGCAAGGTCATAAAAGAGGTAAATAGAGAGACAAAAAGGCACTTATTTCATAAATGCAAGTCTCTTCAATTTTTGAGAAAATTTTTAAAAAATAAAAAATTTATTAAAAATAACTCGCAAACGCGTGATTTTTACTTTCGCGATCAATTATCAACAACATTATTTACTTTTTTTCTAAAAGCGCTCACCATTTCTGGTTCCGCTCGCTCCGCTGGCTTTATCGAAAATTTTGCCAGAAAGTCATCTGATGATGAAATGAATCGCCAGTATCACCTCCACTATCATTATCTCATAGGATTTTTTCCAATAATGAAGATGTTCTCACATGCAAGGAAATTTATTTTAAAAAACTGAACGCGAAGACGACATTGGTACCGCTACTATTAGCAGTGACTTCAGTGAAAAAATCATGCAACTTAATTGCTTTCTTACTACTATTACTTTTGTTTAATAAACTTATTCGTTCACATAGAAATAAGCTGAACACTCATCAAACACAAATACACCAATTTACTCCCTTAAAACTCATTTTATTACCTTGGTACTCTCGGATCCCAATATACCCACTTCCACGCTCTCATACCACCTCGCCAAGTAACACTATGCCCACCCAATATTCTTCTCGAAACCCCTCATATCTGCTCTTCTTTAACATCCCATCCACTCAACTATCTTGCCCTCCACCTTGCTCCTTGTTATTTTCTAAACTGCGGCTGCAAGCGCGTGTGAACAGAAATAATGACGGCCATGATGGACATAAGAGATGGGCATTAAGGGAATAAAAATAGGTTTAAGAGGATAAAGTGACAGCAATCGTTGCTAATGAACTGTAAAGGAGCGCAATATAGCTGTGCGCTTGTTAAGAGATGTTTAACGTTTTGATAAAGTGCCGAAATAGTCGCTAGTATCATTTACAGAAATATGAATGAAGAGTGGTTGCAGGAAAAGCGAAGACCCCTTTTGGGAGAAAAGAAGTCGGAGAGTGTTGTAAAATACCATAAAACGTCTTGAGTAGTTTCAGTGGAAAGATGGAGTTTAAAGTGAAAGTGAAACTTTAGGGAAGGTGCTGATGTATAATAATGAGGATTTTAGAAAAACAACGGGCCTTCATAGAGCATTAGTCGGTTGTACGGGGCATAGCTGGTACAATGGAGGACTATAAATGGGCCTGGCGAAAATATAAATAAAAAATAGAAAAAGAGAACTTAAGGAGGTGTCACTCTCGCGATTTGGCTAAAGATTATGATGAAATTGGGTGTGTGAGAAAAGTTGTGGAAGAATGGGTTAAACAGCAGTGAGTGGTATTTAGGTTTAAGACTATAAAAGAGTTAAACAATATTACTAATATAATGGCAAAAGAGAGCTGCGTTTGATGAAGCGTTAGAGGATCGGTTAGGACAGGTGAAGTAGGACAACTGAATGGTTGTTGCTCAGATTACCATCTCAAGCAAACTTTTGATTAAAATCCAAATGATACTCCGACTCATCGTAAATAACTCTGACGGAAATTCCTCGTCTTATTTATCCTTACCTAATCAGAATAATCAGAAACAGTAAGCATTAACCGCTTACTTATCTACGGATTTTAAAGGGAAATAACTGGATTTCGGGTAAATTAAGATTTAAAAAATATAGCGAACTTTCAAAGATCAGCTTTTTTCCGCTAATATATTTTGATATAATAACATAACTAACTAATTACATTACATATAACTGAAAAATTTTTCCTCTACAAGCTTATAACAAGTAAACTAAAAGCCATTTGTAAAACAAGATTTAATTTCATCGAAAAAATTTTTTCATCTCTTCTTTCAAGAAAATGAATAATCCTATTAAATGTTATTATTTAAAAAATATTAATGAAATTGATTTTTTTAAAAACTTTTTTGGACCTTTTAATCAATGATCATGCTTAGAAAAATGATAAAGATAAATAAAATAGAACCAAACAATTCGCCGAATTCTGTAGTTATTCCAAATAAAGCGAAATTAGAAGGGAAAGAGAAAAATCTAGCTGTCATAATCACTTCCTAGGTGCTCTTCTTTTTCGCTATCTTCAAATAGTTCTCTGGCGATCAGTTCAGCAAGCCAAGCCAGAAATAGTGAATGCTTATAAGGCGAAGAACAAAACAATATTTCAGCTAGAAAATTTTTTATTACATTCAGACTTATAATTAATTCTTTTTACCTTTCATAAAAACAACACGAACCGTGGAATCAAAAGACGAGTAAAATAATCAAATTTTTACGAATAAAGAAACAGCATGAAATCAAAGAAACTTACTTAACTAGGAGCTTTCAAAAAGTGCTGAATCGGAAATTACTTTTTCGATTTCAGATGAAAAATTGATAAGCATTTTTTAGAAAAAAGCAATTTTTAAAAGTAAATGCAAAAAATCAAAATACGACCCTCAATCACAAAATAAAATCAAAAAATTCCAACTTGACCTCATGGAAAATATAAAGGCAAAAAACTAACCAAATAACTGATTGCTACGATCTGAACATGAGACATTCGCTATTGTCATAAGTCGTTGAATTTGGTAATCATTAAGTTTTTCACATCTTCGAATATAATTTTCGCGACTAATCATCGAAATCTCTGAAGGCAACAAATGAACACCATCAAACGATCGTAAATTTTCTTTTTGCGAATCCAGCAAAACCTAGAAAAATAGAAGATTCTATAGAAAAAACAACAAAGGAATTAAATTTTCATTTGGTATATTACTTAAATTATTTAAACTGAAAAAAATCAAAACCGATTGTATCATTTTATTGAAATTTTTAAGAAAAAAATCATTCAAATCAAAAAATTTACATTGCAAAATAATAAGCGATTATCAGTTCCTTTGTTTATTTCTAATGAGCAGTTCGATAATTCGTCGCGTAAATTTGGCCTGTGTTCGGACGATAAAGTATGTTGTATCTCATTCGCAAGATTCGACATCACCTCATCAAAAATATTTTCTTCACTATCTTTATCAATTTGAGTTTGATTTTGTATGCGGCTAGTGCTTGATGTTACATGCATAACAGTTGGTGCTAAACATATATATATAAACATGGAAACATGTGATAAGTAAATAAAAAATGGCACAGCAAATCAAGTGTGATAATAAAAAATGCGATAAGTGTGATAATTCATTTGGAAATATTTGCATGAAAGATAAAAAAAGCAAAATTAAAAAACACAACTTACGATATAAATTTGCTCCATTGCAAAAAGGCTTCATCGGATATTTGCTAAGCACATCTTGATTTCTATAATTCTGACTAATTTAGTTTATTAACGACAAGTTCATGGTTTACTTCGTAATTTTTCAAATAAATCAAATAAAATTCTAAAAAAATCGAAAATTTTTTTCTTTGTTTCTTCCTCCAATTCTTTAAATCTTGATGATGAAATGTTATTAATTATTAAATATTCACCGTGAACCAGAGTTCTTTTGAGTTCGACCATGGTCTTCCTGCTCATTTTGTGAAATCGATGAGCTAGATCTGCAAAACGAAATTCATCGAGGTATGAACAATAGGAACGTTCACAAATAGTCTGAATCTTAATAACTTAATCACTTTCACTAGAAAAATTTAATAAAGTAATAAATACCTTCTACCATAATAAGCGTTTCTATCACGATAATTTCTATAAGAACCAGAGCGAATTCCTAAAAATCTTGCTGGATGATTTCGTTGATAACGATTTCCTGAGCTTTTAAGAGAAAAACCACGTTCGAAATCTACGGTAACTGATTGAGAAGCGCTTCCTGCAGTAAAACTTATAAATAAACATGGAACAAAATCTATAAACATAAAATTATTATTCATTAATTAAATATTAATAAGTAAATGATATTTCAATGTATTCAACGAAAAAGCAAAGTGAAAGGCATAAAAATGAAAGAATTCGAAAAAAAAGCTAAAGTATTCAAAAAAAAGCAAAGAACATGGCACATCTCCGATTTAAATACGAACAAACAGTACTCTAGTCTTAAATGTAAAGTATAATTTATAAAATGGGATAAACCGAAATGATAATTTGGCCGAATGCGTATTGCCCAGATTATTTCTAACAACACGATTCGGCAAGTTTTCACAGAAGTAAAAGGAGAATACCACTGAAAAATATATTGGACATCACTCGCACTTCAATCCCCTAGTGTCCCTCAGGCAAATCTCAATTCTACTAGTAGCCTAAATAGAAACAATGAGGACCAAGTGATAAGCACTAAATATGAAACTCAGATTTTCGTTGGGTACTAAAGTGTATAACTTTGTACTATAATTTTGTGCTTTAAAAACGCCATAGATGTATAAATGAAAATAAATGAAAATAAATTTAAAAATATACGAGAATAAGATTGTTGACGATCATTTATATATTGTGGTATATAAACATCTCTTTGTGTTTGTCTCGATGACAGAGGTTTCCTTGATGAACGCTGCTGTTGTGTATTATTATAATAATTCGATCCGGAAATATAATCTTTCTTGAGATTTTCATTAGACGAAATTTTCCTTTGATTATCTCGTCGATAGTAATCTGTTAACAAATGCCTCGGCAGCTTCGGAAAATTTTGCGCATTATAATTCTCACTGAGAAATTCTCCTAAATTATTCAATGAGCAGTAAAACATGACTGAATTTAAGTAGAATTTAATTAAATTGATAAAAAATACATATATTGAAGGTAAATTCATAAGATACTTTGATCTGAGACTTTCGTCGCATGAGGTACTTCGCATGATGTCCCACTGAAGAAAGGCTTCTCAGATAGCTGCAAGGAAAATTTTTTATTCTGAAAATATAGCAAAGAACAAAAATATAAGAATTTAGTAAAATTCGGAAACATTTAATCAATTGATATTGGACTTTTAATGATAATAATAACAATAATAGCGATTTAAAAAATCGATAGTTAAATTAACATAGATCAAATTTAGTTCTGATGTTTTATATAAAATATATAAATATAAAAAAAATTAAAGAATTTTTCATCAAAAATTTAAATTTTAAGTAATTTAATTCTTAAAAATTCAATAGAAATTTCCCTATAATAATAAATTAAATAAATTATAGTTAATAGACAAAATTTTATATAATTAAACCATCAAAATTAACAAATGACCAAAAATGATCAACCAAAAAAAGCCAGCTCATAGGTATGCAATAATTAATTAACAATAATAATAAAATTCAATTTAAAACCTTATTATCGGTTCGCGAAAGAGGATTTGCGTTCAAATCATAATGCTGTTGCGCAGTTTTACCATCATTTGGCAGAAGACATACTTCTGATAAACATTCATTATCAATAAGTTTCGGAACTGAGAAATGAGGACCAATGAGACTAGAAAAATTTAAATCATGTTATTCTACTCGAAAAAATTTTTAAAAATTTCTTCTTTGAAGAGTTGATTTCCTAAAAATATTTAATTTCCTAAAATTAAATATTTTTCCTCAAATCACTTGCTGAATGATTAAAAATAAAATACAGAAAAATTAAAACTATTTATCGGAAAACTGATTTCTGATTTCGAGCTATAACTGCATTCCTTAATTATCTGTCGATTAATAAGACAATGCCTTTTTGTTAAAAGAATTTTGACAGTGGCAACACAAATGAATAATAGACGTAAAAAGTTAAAATTAAGAAGATAAAAAGAATTAAAAGTAATTACGAAATTATATCCTTGATTGTTCGGCAAGAGTTTCTTTAATGTTTATCTATTCTAGGCTGCTTAGCCCCAGCCCCATCGCCGAGTGACTCTATGACGAAAAAATCAAAAACTCTAACTCTAAAACGGCGTCCGCATATTCTTCGCATATGGGTATAGGCGATAAATATACAAACCAGGCCTGGCAACTGTAATAGATAAGTTCTCGCATTTCCTGAATCTCAAAAAAAAAAATTTCACACAAAGGAATGAAGTATTCCCAAAATCGTGGACATTTGAAGCCGTACTATTGCAATTGTAAATCACATTGAACATTGAACATGAAGGACATAAAATATTCTCTTTAATTTAAAAATCTCCGAAGAACACGGTCTTTTAATGAAATTTTAATTCATTTCTTTAAAATCTTCTACTGGAACTCTTTATTGCACTGATCTGCAAGGTGCTCAGGAAAGCTGGTAGGAATGTACCGAATATCGGGAAACCAGTTTGATCTATATCTTTGGCTAAATTACTGCTAAATGGACTTGTGATCGTGCTTGATAGCAAGGTGTGATTTAACCAATGTGGATTCAGGTGATGCAGATTTGTACGAAAGAATAAAGATAAAATATCGAATTAATTATCGGCAAACTACAACTAGATTTATCGAACTTTTGATTCGATCAATGCTACACTCTGGCAAGTCGCAGTGCGATGCTCCCGAGAAGATAACTGGACTTATCAAATCGGCATATAAAAGCGCTAACGTATATATAAAAAATGCTCTTATGTATGCTTCCCTACGAATGGTATTAATCACATTCAAGTTCGAGTCCTCCAATAAAGAAATTGAAGTAAGACAGATAAGACTTCATCTCACCAAATGACACCTCAAGAGACCTCCACGGAAAAGAGAGATGGCTGCGATTCGAACCGTTACTTTCCATATTATCCGTCTTAATCACTACGCTATTTCTCTTCCTCTCCCCTCCATAAGTATATATTTTTAATATTTATATTTATATCTAATATTTATAAATATATTTAACAAATATTTATATTAATATATTTATATTTAATAAATATTTATAAATAAATGTATATATATATATATATATATATATATATGGGAAATTATTCTTGGGAACTGGTATGCATCAATTTTATTTTATGTTCTTCAAATGGCAGTAAAAATTAATATAAACATATATACCAGACACTCCAGAAATTTCAATTTTTATAATATTCTTATACCCAGTGGTGATGCGAATGATGAAATTCAGGATCAAATAGTTACAAGCTGCAAGCTAAGAGCGCTTTTTTCTGTCTGGCAAAGCCTCAATGGAATCACCGAAAAATGCATCACTTAGTAGCACTCAAAATCCGACAACATCGCAACGAAAATAACCAGTAAGAATGGAAGAAGTCGGGATGCTTGAGTCGACAAATTCAGGATGGAAATTTTGAACGCATAGGTAGAAGAGCCGGCATAGACCTTAAAATAAGGAGTAGCTTCATTTCAGTCACGGCTTCAGACCGAGAAAAGGATAAGACATTATCGCCATAGAAACAATTCGGGAAAGTACAAATGAATCCTTACAGAATTCGATATTATAACAAGTTTCCTCTTACCAAGCCGTATAAGCCGAATCATATGCCGATGGTTGAAATGCTCTAAGCAATATTCCATCGGGTTGACTGACAAAAACAAGAAATTTAATACATACCTTGTTAGGCAATTCAAATGATTTTCGATGATTTTTGACGATCCATGAAAATTCTTTATTTTATTAGTTGAAATAATAGAATTTTTATGAAGAGAATTATTTCTTAAATTTCCATCATAATTACTATTATTAAGTATAAAATACTGATGTTGTTCGGCTGAATCCTTCACAAGAAGCTTTTCAGCGACTAATTTTTCAATATTTTCTTTCTGTTCTAATTTTTGTCGCTTTAAATTTGTATTAAAATATGCTTTTGTTAACGCTGTTGTTGATAAACGTCTTTCAAACTCGCTTCTTGAATTACTATTATTATCATTATTTTTGTCGTTATTACCATCATTTTTAATATTATCCAGATTATTGCCACTATTCCCATGTTTAATAGCGAAAGAAGATAGTGGTACTTTGTTAGTTGAACTTTTATTGTTATGGTCATCTACTGATAAAACTCCACTACTTGAAGTACTTAAAGTTGATGGCGATAGATCATGCTGTTGTTGTGGTTTAGTTCCATAAATATCCAATAAAGGCAATATTTCTAAACCGTTTCTTCGATGTTGTCGCGCTTGCATTGTTGCCACTGGCGATAAAAAAAAATTAAAATTTATCCAAGGTTGTTCCGAAGAACTAAACTCACCAACTGTAGTAGTTATTGTTGTTGCTCGCTGATTATTTCTTGATAATAAATAATTATTGAACAATAATTCACGAAATATTAAAGGTAAATAATTACAATATTGTCGCCAATAGTTTAAATTTATATAATTCAGTGTATGTTGATTACTTTTACTTTTAAAAAATAATGCTGAATAATTTCCATTCATTGTTGCTGTCGCCGTTCTTAATCGTTGCTGGTGATAAAAATTCCTTGTAACATGGTGTTGTTGCTGTTCTTCTCTGTATTGCGCCATTATTTTCTTTGTTTTGTACTAAAGTGAAACTGAAAATCAAAACAAACGGGAGATGTATATCGCTGTCGGTTGTTGGTAATCTATAAAATTTTTATTGCTTGTGATTATAAATATTATTCGTTTAGAAAAAACAATAAACGTACACTTTTAATAATTTATGAGTAGAAAAAATGATATTTAATAAATAGATTATATCTATCTGGCGGCAAACATAGCTTAGAAATAAATGAAAAGGTTAGAGGTCAAATTATACAAACTAACCCTTAAAAAATTTGGATTGCCGTACTGACATACTATTTTAAAAAGTGAAAAAAAGTATAAAAGAAGAATACGTTTTAATGAATGAATGTTTTCATGATACCAAGAAGAAAAAATTATTTAGTTTACAACGATTTTTAAAAAAAATATGCCTGTGCCAAACGTTTCAACTTTCGAGTTCGAAGGTAGCGTAGCGAATTAGCCTCAGCTTAACATAACATAAAAGGGAAGAGTTCGCATCCTACCTCCGACAAGAGTAAATCTATAACTTAAAAGTCCAGAAAGTAGTGCTCGCGATTCAGCTATACTTCTATCGCCTTCTGGCATCCCACGCGAAAATGAATCTAACTTGCTATCATTGTATATTTAATACAAATCATTTTACGCCATGAAATTGAAACCCTGAAGTCCCAAGGTAAGATAATCCCCCAAATTACGCGAGACATATAATGCAAAAATATATTTTGAGTATCTAAAATTTCGGGCAACACAAGAAAAGCTTACAATCTACTAGCGTGTGCCTCAGTTTATCTTTTCTTTTATAGTGCTAAAAAGGTGGAAATATAAAGTCATATAAATTATGAATTTTTATAAGATATAGATTTTATAAATATAAATTATAAATAGGATATAAATATAAATTCATGTTTCTTAGAATATAAAAAATAATAAAAACTGGGAAATTTTTTCTTATTAAATTGAAAAAATTTTCAGGCAAAAAAAATTGAAAAGAAAGAAAAAACAAATCTACAATTAGGGGCAGTAGGAACTTATAAACAGCCTATCATATTAGCTTAGAGAATAAAAAAAAGAACCTTCTATTAACCTCCTATTTGGCATCGCAATGAACAGTTTCGAAATGCTTTACCCCTATAACCAGCCGAAACAACTTCACCCCCTGGCAAAAATTTTTGATGGCATTAACAACCATATGAACGAGACTAACCGAAAATGGTCCACTCTCACTTGATATAATTTATAAAATATCAGATTTTCTTTTCACGAAATCTGTGAATTTAAAAGCTTTAATTAGTATTTTTGCCAAAAATTTTCATCCCATTTTTAATTTCAAAATTTTTTTTTAAATTTTTTGGATTTTTTTGATTTAATTTTTAATTATAAATTGTTTTAATTATTATTTTAATTGTTTAATTTTTAATTATTTAAATTAAATCATAAAATCTTTTTTCAGTTAAAAATTTCTTTTTAGAGAAAAAAATTTTTTAGATTTTAAATTTTCAAAATTTTTGAAAAAGTTTTAGCGAAAAATTTCCATTCGTATTTACACTAAAAAATTTATATGAAAAATAATTTAATTCAAAAATATTAAAAAAATAAAAAATGAAAAAAATAATGGAAAAGTCAATAAACAACCAACGACGAAATCGATCTATGCGATGAATAAAAATAAATTTTTGCGTGGCAGCAACAGCAATTTCAATCAACGCAACGACGATGAACTAAACAACGAATGAAACGAACAAATGGGTCAAAACCACTGTGGTTAACATTTTTGGTTAGGCTATTAGTTCCACTATTTATTAATATGGTTGGAAAAATGGATCCACTTCGCTGGAAGTAAAGAAAGATCGTCACTGTAATCCGAATCTTTTAATAAAGACAGGTTTCCTTCTCTCGAGAGCATGAACTCTCAACACATAATAACACAATCTGGGCCACTATCCCGCTATTAAATTAACATTTATTAAATGACTTTATTAAATTTTTGCCAGGTAATGAATCATTTGATGGAAATACACGTAAATCGCCAGCAGCATTCTTTCAGAACCAGGGGAATGGAAGCAGATGCAAATAAAGGAACTCTATCAACCATTCGACTACCGCATAACTTGAGTTAGTAGCAGAAACATTAGATACGTTAGATATTTTTACTTGACTTCTTATTTATAAAGGTAGTGCAAGAAAATTGGTACTTTTTCCTTTTATCCTTTCTTAAGCCAGTACACATGTTTTTTTTAGAATTTCTATATTTTAAATTTCTGCAAGACAATTGTCAATGAAAAATTAACTGATTAAATAAAAGTGCAAATATATAAAGACATTCACAAAACATAACTTATAAAAAAGATAATACTGGGTTATGCGAGTGGAAAAAACAAACTGCCACTGGTACTCACCGAAACCTTTCCAAATTTGTAAAATATCCCTTTAATATCTCGAAAACTCTTTCGCCCTAATCCATTGGCACTATTTCTGCTCCTTTAAATCCCTCACAGCACACAATTTAATTACGTTCCCTTAAGGTGGATGCACTATGTATTTCTATCGCTGCTGCAACTATAACTACAAATTATAAAAATTTCAAAGGGCATAATGACGACAGCTGAGCAATATAAAATATTTTGCCTAAGTTATGATTATAAGAAAATATTTAAAAGAATATACATTAAAAGTACAAATAGAAATGAAGAGGAGTGGGTGAGAGAATAGGGAAATCGGCAATATTATAATGGGAATTTGTCGAGTATAAAATAGCAAACAACGGGGTGTCAAGAAATTCCAGTTCCAATTTCTAGTTTTTTAAGCTGATGAGATAAAACTCGGATTGGAAAACACCCATACAGCTACTCCTTTTACCAGTAATTAAAGATTAAATATTTATTTTTTTCAATTGACGGTAATAATCAGCAATAAAGCAAAACAAAAAAAAATTACTTAAATTATAATTGCAAGTCAAATTAAAAATTACAAATAAGAAAACTGAAAAAAAATTATTGAATAATAAATAATTTACAAAAAATTATATAAAAATTTTAATAATTTATAAATTATTGTTGAAAAAAGAAAAAAAAAAACTAGGATAAAATGGTGCGAATAGCAAATGGTCAGACAAATGGCCAGACGATATTACAATTCGGATGATGGCAGCTAGAAAAATGTGTTCTTCCGGTTGACGATAAAACCGATAGTCCTCGTCTACATAGCTGTTATGGCTGCTATAAGATATAACCAACGAGAGCGGAGGATATTAAGAAGTTATCTACCTTTGACCACTCATGTCTAAGGTATATTTTACGAGTTCGCCGAGTGGATAAAATCTCACACGTCGCATCCATCTTCATTCAAATACCAATTGCATTAACGGTGACATCACAGAACGTGGCTTTCGCTGGTTACAGCACGTTCTTCGTCGCCCACCACAGCAGTTGACATATATATCATTGCCTGCTAAACTCTGTGATGCAAAATGTCAAAAGTGAGGAAGGCCAGTTGAGACCCGCACTGATAAGTCAAAAAAGATTTTGAACATGTAGGTGAGGAAAATTACAAAGTTTTAAAAAACCTGTTGAATTTTTCAAAAACTTTTTCAATTCATACCACCGAAAATTCAATGGAAAATGCAAAAAATAGAGAGAAATTTGATAATCTTGATTTATTCGACTATTTTAAAGGAAAAAGTGTTTCGTTTGAATACAAATTAACCAATTTAACCAATTACTTTTTTAACATCAAATCTGATTTAGCTAGCTCCACTGACCATCAGGATGAAATCCTTTCTGCAGAAAATCAGTTGGATATAGAAACACCAGCGGACATCAACAGCCTGGATTTCCTTGGATTTCACTTCTCAAGACGCGTTTACTCGCCACTCGTAACCGTTCTTTATCTATAGCATTTTTTCGAAAGACTTAGCATTTTGAGTATTTTGAAGTAGTCTCTTCCTTCAATATGATAGTAAATTAAACTTTGCCAAATTATTCCTTGAAAGCAAATGAAGATATGAGGAGGACTATTTTTTTAATGAGAGGGTTATTTCTCGGAGAACGGAACTGTTTTTAACACGGCAGTCTGAACTATTATCCATTCTCACTCCAGTTTATCATTATTAACATTATGAAAAATATCCAGCAAATCGATTCAGCGATCTATTTTTCCGTATTTCACCTCTTTCAACAAATAATTCAGAAGAAATATGATTGCTTGAATCGCAATAAAAGAAAAAAACAGTGGAAAAGATAAAAGGTTAAACATAAATCCGAAAATTTTATGAATTTAAATTTTACGAATTAAATCATTCATCGAAATGCAGAGTTTTTTCCTTTTGTCCAAATGAATCAGCCAATTTAAATAAGAATTATAAAATCATTCGTCATTCTTACCAATATAGCAAAATTATTTAAAACGTTCGCGGTAAATAAATAAATGTTTAATACCCATCATTTTTGATTAGGCTAGAGGCGATGGTTGTTAATAGATTAAAAATTTTCGCCAGCGAGTTACTTGCTGATAGGAAAACAGGTGGGTTAGCAGATAGATTTTTTCCAATAACGGCTTTACCCTTGTCGCAGATGGACGCCGAAATCTCACCTCTCACCACAATAACCTGAATCATTCGTCTACTTTGCTCCTAGTCTAAAAATTTATGAAAAATTAATACGGTTTTTACGACTTAAGAGGAAAGTTAATTGAATTTACTATTTCATGAATCTTAAATGACGACAATAAAGAAAAAGATTGTCCTAATATTAATATTAATATTCTAAAATGAAAATATTAATCAACCATAACATTAATCAATCATTTTTGCATCGTTTTTTTAAAAATGCAAATAAATCAAAAATATTTTAATAATTAAAAAACTGCGAAGATTGCGATGGAAAATATCAAGAAAAATTATTAAATGAAGCTGCAATTCGCAGAAAAAAGCCTCAGGCTATTAGCCTAATAATTGTTTTAAATTAATTAGCTTGAAATATTTCAAAATTAATTCAAATTTCTAGAAAAAATTACAAAATTTCTACTAATATAAACCTAAAAAAAGAATCGTTGGACAAGTAGACCCTCAGACACAGGTTTATCTCTGTCAAGAGTTAAGATTCGAGCCTAAGATGAGAGAAGCAATCACTAAAGGGAGGTAATTTCCGGTTATTGCCAACAATCAAATTAAAAAAAATAAAAGATGACTAGAAGTTTTAAAAGGTGATATAATTGGACCAATGAAAATTTCTGAATGTTTTACCATCATAGTTTTTACACGCTTAGCATTGGCAAAGAATAAAATGGTACAACTGCAAATAATGTCAATTATAATATAATTTTTCTTTTTTAAATATAAAAATAATCGAGCTGAAAAAACTAAAATTTTTAGAAAATTTACGCGGAAAATATATAAACCATACTAAGGCCAAGTCTGGAACACACTTCCGTTTGACAACATTGCTTCATTATCAGGAAATGTAAAAACTGGTTGGCCTCTATAAGTATGCGCAGAACCAGATGATGTTGAGGAACATAATGCCACTTCATCAAAATCGCTTTTATAACTAAATTTTGAACTGCGTTACAAGAGATAAAGTCTTTCATCATAGCACGTAGTAGTATTAAAATAGAAAGTATATTAAAATAGGAAGTATGAAACAGTTTCAATATTCTAAGAAAAAACTAACGCCGATAAAGCTGGAGCAGTTCCTGCAGCAGTATATTTTATAATTTCGCCGTCGGACGTTAGTGGCTGACTTAACGACCGATTTGAATTTTGAGATGGATTTATGCGAAGACAACGATGAGGATCTAAAATTCATAGAAAGTAAGTGAATGGCCATGAGAGTAAAATGTTTTTCATTATTTTTACAATCATAGTGACGGCAAAAAAAACGAAGTAAAACGAAATAAAAGCCTTCGAAATTGCTTCACTACGATGTACTCTGAAATTTATCGCATACATTTTCTGCACTTTCCTAAAAATCGTATTTAGACGACCGCAAGAAACAACTCAATTATGATTTCTATAGCTCATTCTAGTAATTCTAAACACGAGTGATTTAATATTTAAAAGTGCAGAATTACAATTTTTAAAAATCTGAAAATATTAAAATGTTAAAATAATTCAAACACTATAAACACACCCTTCCAGCAGTTTCGATTATTTGATGAATAATTTCCAGCTATTTCGTTCGCAAGATTTTCTTGGAACCTGAATTTACGATGAAAAAAAAGCAATTCATTTAATTAATCTAAATATTGATGCAAAAATAACTTATAATTAACCGCGATCACTACGATGTAGCGAGTGAATATTGGAACCGCCGAAAAAATGAATGATAGTTTTGAGCCAGCAATCTGATATAGCAAAATATTTCCTCTATGCTCAAATTTGTTACTATTATTAATAACTGAATTTGCTAAACCGAAGGAATTTGGCTCTGTACGATTGCACACTAACTCAAGACATTTCGATGTCACTGCTTGCAAATCACATTCGGATTTGTCTTTCGGATTTGAAGAATATTTTAAAAATTGTCGTTGATCCGGAAGAAATAAGGGATGTGCAAAATTCTGCATAGCATAATCCTTTGCCGATTGCGCATAATGTGGTAAAGACCAGTTTCGTTTTAACTGATATGCATTATGATAGCTTGAAATAAAATTTTGGTCGTAGTTCTGTGGAGGCAAAACAATCGATTGCAACGGCTGACCTGAGAGACTATAAGGTGAGAATCTTGGAATTAAAGATTAAAGCCTTCTTAGCATGTTTTGCTCCATAGAAAAAACCATGATTCCAAAGTTAAATTTAAAAATGACTGGTATTTCGCGATTTTTTACTAAATGAACTACAATTAATACAATTAATAAATAAAAACAACCTTGATTTGAATGGCAATTCACGCTAGTTTCCTTAGGAACAGAATTCACATCCGCATTCTGTTCAAACCAATAATGAGACTTATTTGGCGGTAAGTCAACCATTTCAGTAGGGTATTTACATGCTGATCCATAAAATAAGGAAGCCTAAATGCTCAATCGAATAAGAATCTAAAGAGTACCATTAAATAAAGTAAGGCATTGGTCTAGCGTGGCTGTGCTGAATGTTATGTAGAAATTTCTACCAGGGAATTATTTAGCGATAAAATTTCAGGAAGGTTGCCAACATCATGCGGACTTTTTAATGGCAAGTTTGTTTCTTTGAGAAGTAGAAACAGAGTCTTTGCCTCTCAACACGATATTTTAAGCCACCGTCCACTCGGCTACTCTACGTCCATTACAAGGAATTTCCAGAGATCACGAAAAAGGATTTTGTAAGTGTAACGAGACTTACACTAACTTGATTGTTTTCGAAAGAAAAATCGTCCGAACCGCGAACTTCATGAGCGATTAACGATTGCACCCTAAAAATTAATTTTCAAATATTTTTAAATTTTTTGAGAACTTAAAATTTATTGAGAGAATTTTAGAAACTAAAAGCTAAAAGCTCCAAAACCAACTTACATCTTGAATATCTTTATTTTTATATTATTATATTATTTTCCTTTTAAAAATGTCTAAAAGTTTTTGTAATTTTTAAAAGGAGACATTGTTTATAATTATTACTTATATATATATAATCATTCTAATATTTATTTCTATCTTTATGTTTAAAATAAATAAATATTTCATGTTTATAATAAATAAAACCAATCAATAAACTACAATTAAATAAATTTTTAATCAATTTTTATTCAATAATCTTGATATTCAATTGATATTCTTAAAAGAAATTAGTTTAAATTGTTATTTAAAAACAAAATTACGATAAAATAAAACTTGCTAACAACGTATTAAATAATATTAAATAATTAAAAGAACTGTAAAAAGTTCAAAAAAAAATTGAAATTAATAAAGATAAATAAGCGATCAGTAAATTAGAATTTCAATGATTGAACAATGATTCATAATGTTCTAAACTTTTTTTATAAAAACTAAAAAATTACTTGAAATTTCCTTAAATATAAAAAAAAAACAATAATAGAAGAATTAAGAATTTGAAAAATTTAATTTATTAATCGAATCACTCTGTTGAATCAAAATAAAGTGGTACCATTCCATACTGGGAATAGGAATCGAATTTTGCAATGTAGATTCGTTAAAACTTTGTGTATTTTTTTCAGAAAGCGAAGCTGAAAATTTATTTGGGTTAAAACTAATTAGTCAAAAGCATGGTCAAAGGTCGGGTTGTTGTTGTTGCGTGAGAGAAGCAAGAACTGTGCAGAATTTTTCAAAAAATATAAACTGATTCGCCCTAAACTCGTTTTTTTGAATGAATTCGTGTCATTCGGATGACGACAATTGCCCCTTCCCGCATCGTCATACGCATTATTGCAGCTCACGTTAGACATCATATGCAACAGAAAGAATGAGCGGAGCGGCTGAAACTTTCGTTCTTTTCTTCCGAATTCCCTGCAATACTTTAAATTTGCATGCAAATCGTCCACTTTTCAGTTGTATAGTGCATTTGGCTGCCAAGAAAAATGATGCGAATGCCATTCTTCTTTAACTAAAGAACACTAACCTAAATATTTAAATACTCCTCCAATATTAATGATAAAAGATAGACTATACAAATGAAAATTGGATATATATAAAATATAGGACAGCTATAAAAGCAGAAAAATAAATAGAAATCTGAAAAAAAAAAAAAAATGCGCGAACTGCACAAATTATGTTGAATCACGGAGGCGGATGGAAGATAAATTCTTATCACCTTATTTATTCTTACTTTCCGTTATTGCTCCACAGACTATTAGCCAGTGAGAAATTTTTGATTGGGCAGACAAAAATGGCCTCTCTTAACATCAATTTACTCACTTCAAGGAAGCTCGGTAGGAGTACTGGGGAACGACGACCCCGCTATCGCGCTCTTCTTTAAATTAAGCTAGTTGATTGTTATCCAATCTTAAATTCACATAATAATTTAAGATATCTGATGGAATCCGGAAACCTTTTCGTAAAAACACACTACTCGTGAATGTAGTACGGTTCTTGGAAAGCACCACACTTTTCCAGAAAACCGTTCGTTTTCTGCAAAAGTGCCACCATAATTCCCTGAACTCTCTTTCAAATTCGAGTTTTCTTAACGCATAGACCATTCTCCACAAGCACCATTTCAAGAAAACACCATACCATACGTATTTCTTAAAAATTAACTTTGCCAATTCGAGAAAATAAAAAATAAATTTTATCCGAAACATGGTGACATCAATGATCTTTCTCGACTCTTCCGTACCAACGACTTCTCGAACTGAGATTTTATGAAAAAGGATAATTTAATGGAATCACCGAATGCTGAAAAATTAGATCAGACAATCTCGAAGAGATTTTTTCTCTCTCCAGCAGAAATTATTAATTTAAATATTTATCTACCTAAAACCGATTTTTTTGAGCGCAAAATGTTGAAGTTCTACCATGGACTTCAGTACCATTCAATTTCAGGTACTCAACCTAAAATAACCCCTCAATCCAATTAATCTCTGTTAATCATCTTACAATTAATTGATCTATAACTCCTTCATAATCGCCTTATATTTTGGCTTTATAACCATTTCAAATACAGAAAATTTTTTGAACCATTCAAATTTTTAATGAAATAGCAGCCCTTTAATTTCGCTTCCTTCAAGTTTAATAGTTATTTAAAATATTGCACCTCTAACCTTAACTTCAATCTTCCTAGTTGTTAGCTCGACCTGCCCATAATTTCAATCCTCCAAGCTTCTTATTCTACGGCAAATGCTCATATACAATTCTTATAACAGAAAAAATTTAACTCAAATGTCGAAAAAAAAAATTTACGAGTTAACCGTGTTCGCTAAAATTCCATATCGATATTTTATGGGCAAATCTCAAGAAGATCGGAAATCTTTCTTTTTCTAATCATTTTCACCATTTTTTCCAAAATCTTTCCTGACTCATGATTGACCCTCCTCACTCTTTTGATCCATCACAGCTCTTAGCAAATCGGGAAATATGCGTCAACGCCTGTGGTGGACGACGAAGAATGTGTGCCCTAACCAACAAAGGTGACATTCTGTGATAACATTAGCACCGATAGCACAGATTCTACTTAATAATCTTATTATCATAATCTGAAACTGAAAATAAAGTTACGAATAAAGTGGGCTTATATTACTTGACTACGGTATGCCATAAACATGCCACTAAAGCATCCACATAGAGATGGTGCTGCTCAATGCTCACTTCTATCGACTCTCGGTGACCATCTGCTGAAAATTCCTCAAATTCCGTGGAGCAAACTGAACCAGAAATTGTGAAAACGGTTTACTAAGTGCTTAGAAACAAATGACACGTCATAGGAAGAATTAATTGAAGAAAAAAAAAGTCAATTTCATTAAATTTATTTTATTACATAAATGTTGAATGAAAAATTTATTTCTTTTATAAATTCGTTTGAAACGTTGTTAATTTTGTTGGACTCCCACGCACTTTTATTTCCCTCACCGAACCCTCAACGATACTGCCACTTCCTATTCCACTGGCTCTTATTAAGCTTCCCTCTTGCATTTTTTGTTCGTCGGTCGGTTATTGCAAATCACTTAATCACCAACGCACCTCTTTGAGTTGATGGAGAGAACAGCCTTAGCAACCTTCTATTCCTTAATTAATTTTTCTTGATTCTTGATCAGAATTGTCGACTGCTAATTCCTCAGACTTATGGCTCCAACATTTTGCTAGCATTTTGCTTTCGCCTTATTTTGGTAAATAAAATATATATACAACAACTCTTAACATTTTGTCAATAAAAAGGCTTATCTTATGAATGGACAGAATTACCTTCAAGCCTTGGCATATTTTCGCAAAGCCCGTTTGCCCTTAATAACCCTACGAATCTTTATCGTTTTTCTTATAAAAGTGAGTTGAGAGGTTCGATGGAGATTCAAGGGATTAAGATGAGATTAAAAAAATTCGCAGTTGCCGACGACATTTGGTAAGGGAAAATCAAAGTGCTAAAATGGGATTCAAGTGATATTATCAAATAATGGGAGTTAAGGAAAAATCTGAAGGAAGTTCGCGGATGATTTGAACAGGACTAGCTTCGGGAAACATGCATGGATTTCAAAGGACCAGCTCAAGAGAATTCGCAAGCATTTTCTAGGAGAATCATTGTGAGGTCTTATAGAGTAATAATCTGGTCTTAATGAAGATAGGATATCGAGGATTAAGTGGACGGTGAACTGCTGAAGAACTTTCGGGAGGCCTAAGGAGCTTATCCAGGGGTTCCAATAGGACTGATGCATTATGCATGGATGTTTATTATTTAGTATTGCTGCATAGAACAGGCTTTTGTCTTGTGAAAATTCGAAAAGTGGTCGGAATAAATCGAACTGTGGACAGCGATTTATTTCGATTTTGAACTTCGCGCCTTCCGTATCTTTGGAGTTTTGCCAAAAAATTTTTTGTTGGTTTCTGGAAGCTTTATCATTATTCTGGTTTGTTCTCATTTCTAGGATTGGGGTGGCCTCCGGGCCCGAAGTTTCTTATTTTTCAAGAGTTAATGCTAGAATATGCAAAAATAAGCCGTATGCTATGCAGTTTTAGTTTTTTTCTTTTTTTCATTTTTATTTCACATTTTCTGATTGGTAGATAACAGGTGGATTTTAATTTCAGAATGCTAAAAAGAGACGAAGGTCAGAGGAGCCAAAAACTGTTAAAAAGTTTAAAACTCCACTATACGTCTGTTTTTAAATTTTCTAGGCAATTTTCTACCTTATCTACCTTTTGTTTCGTTTCTTCATAAACGAACTAACAAAGTAAAAATGCATCGCTTCATCTTGAGACGAGATTTTTATTCCAGTAACAATTATAGTTAATATCATCTTTTTAACTTTCCTTTGAAATTATTTGTTTCAATAATTGTTTTGTGAATATGAGATTAATGTAAAATTTTAATGTATTGCTAATGCTTTAATGTACGTTTGGTTATTATAAATATTATTAATTTTCGGTTAATTTCATTAAATTTATTGTTCATTTGGATTTTTTATCATTGTTATCTGTTCGATTTCAGTATACTCTTTAGTTATACTTTGTTAAAAATTAATGAAGAAATTGGCATATCTTAATTTAATTTTCCTTGTCCTGCTTAATTTTAGGATTATCGTTGCGCGATCCACGCCATCTATGAGTTTTAGCAGTTAGTATGATGACGTTTTATGAAGGTGGTACGCAATCGAACATCTGTTACTTTCCAGGAAGAGACGATGCTGTTGATCAAGTTATGCAGGAATGGGCATATAAGTTAGTATTTCCGTAAGGTTCGAAGTCATTTGCATAGCGGCGTATTCACATATTCTCACTTTTATTTCAAGTTTTCAAGTTTTCGTAAGAAATCGCTCAAAGGGAACTCAGAAATTTCACATTCTGCTTGCATTTCTATGGAGAAATTTAAGGGAGACTTTTTGAGATTCAGTGTCAATTTCTTGATTTTTAGAATTTTTAGAAATCTTTTAAATATTTTTAGATACTGTGTTTTTTCTGAGGCGAAGATTTTTGTCACTACATTTAATGTGAACGGAAGAAGTGCGCCACGATCGATTCCGGCTTGGTTGGTGCCTGACAGAAAAGCACCTGATATTTATGTTGTTGGGTATTGATTTCCAGCTGATTCAATTATTTCTTGATTTGAATTATTTTGTATAATTAAACTGTTTGATTTGATTTATATTTTATTATTTTTAAGTAATTTTACATAATTGTAATTGTTTTAATTGTAATTATTCATATAATTTTTTTTACATCAGTAATTTCCATCATATAAAAATTTTCATCTTCCAGGTTGCAAGAAATGGATTTAAGTACACAAGCCTTTTTATATGATGTATCTTCACGGCAAGATGAGTGGGTGAACGCAATTAGTAATTCACTTCCTCCATTTGCTCAATATTCGTTGGTGAGTTCGTTTATTATATTTACTTTTATTGAGTTCCATGGAACTAATGAACTAATGTAGATGTTGTCCTGTTTTAAAAAAATTTTTATAGATTTAAAAATGTTTATATATATTTGATTATATTATTAAAAAACCTTTGGAAATTCTTTCTCGTATTCCTTAAACTCGTAGTAATCATGATGGTCAGTACCTATGTGTGGCACCCAAATGAAAACATCATAGGTGAAGAGCAAATAAAAATTTTAATTGCAAGCATGCAAGAAATTGGAATAAAATGTATATATTTTCTTATTAGTTGTAGACACCCAGGAAATAAAAAATTCAGACAATTCAACAAAATTCAACAGCTTTTTTTCAAAATCAAATTTGTGAATAATTTACCTCAATGTAAATATCTGTGAAATCAGCTATGATAAAAAACATAATAATAATGTGATA